TATAAAATTTTTATATAATATATATAATTATATATATATATAAATTTTATATATATATTTATAATTATATTATAATATAAATATATATATATTATAATTATTATATATTAATATAATATATTATATATATAATTATAGATATATATATATATAATATATATATATTATATATATATTATATATATATATATATATATAAAATATATATATATAATATATAATTCATTTATAAAATTTAATTAAAAAATTTTTTGGCGTAGTGTTGTTGATTGATTCAGTTGATGAACATAACTGTGATGATTTACATAAGAATGTTAGCCTTCTAGATACAACACTTTTCAATACTTTTGGAAACCATGATTATCTCCAAACAACCTTCGGAATTCAAAAGTGGAAGGTAAATATTCCTAGCACTTAAGTCTTCTCCCAACCTGCATACAACTGGTGCACTGCCAGCAGTCACAAAGAAGACAAACATTGCAGAACAAGCTTTAAAAAAAAAAATAAAAATAAAAAAAAAAACTTTGATAGGTATAATGTGTAGAGTTTCCTCAAAGTCATGACTTGATGAAAGCTCTACGGAGTAAAACATAGTCCCTATACAAGCTTGGTTGACAACATGGCCTTTGTCAACATAATAATGATATACAATACCGACAAGTTGATTAAGACACATGTGCAACATTAGGTATCTTTATTCCGAAAATTTCGCCTACATAGTAGGCCTCGTCTGCATTCGACTGTAGAAGCATGAACCAGATCATGTTGTACACCTGTCTTATCAACATATCCTTTCTTCGTTCCCAATGAAATGAGGTGGAACAGAGGGTAGCACAAAATACCTTACACAAGTATATAAATGGTAAAACCCTTGATAAAGTGATCTTTAACAGAAGAGACTTCGATATCATGGAATTTTTAAAATGGCCAAAATATGCCATGTAATGTGTACTAGGAACTCTATTATTTTTTATCTTAATTGAAATATATCTGTAAATTGCATGTACAATACTATTTTAGATATAGAGTAGCCAAATGCTTTTTTTCTGTTATTTTTAATATTCTTCTAATTTAATGGACATTGATAAGCTTTTATTTGTCCATTATATCAAGGGTTTATTGTAAGCTCTCTTATAAAGCTCCCTTATTTAGTGTTATTTTTTAAAATTGGAACTGAAAGAAGTTTACCCAATACTGAATAGCCTGTACTGTGAAGGCCTTTCCATGAGCTATTCAATTCTGGATGTACTTTATAAATCACATTTATAAAAAACTGCACTATACAGAGAAGCTTTAAAAGAGGTGACTGTATTTACAATTCATAATGCTAGATTATCCACCCGCATAACTGCCTCATGTCTATCGTGTGCAATGTTATCATTTCAGTCGTAAAGTTAATCTTTATTTCCCATGTAACTATAAAAAAATAAGTTCCTAAACAGAGGCTAGGATCTAGCAGGCTTAGATTCTTAGAGAGAAAATATTCTAGTATATTTTTGAGTGTATGTTGGGATGGGTATGTTGCTTGCCAGGCAGCCAGCATCCAGCTCTGACAGCATAATACAAGAAAATTTGATATATATATATATAGTCTTATTTCAAAAACATATAAACCTTAGGAAAGGCTCAGCTTAAAATGCTGAACCTGAGGAGCTAAATGTATTTTTGCATGGTAACTCTAAATAAAAGAGTACACAGTCATTGCATATATCACTCTTGGTCTAGTCTGGTATTAACCAGGCTAAATTAGAAATGCTATGGTAAGTCAAAGCTTGGAACTATACCAAGGCAGAATCCAAGTCATTAAGACTCTTGGCACTTCAAAATTTACATTGTACTTCATGGAAAAAAAGATGAGAATAGTTGTAATAACTATCAACACAGTACTGACCTCAAGAGAGAAATGGCATAAAATACCAACATGATGGAAAGAGGTGAACGCAATATAATGCAATCCTTTCTTGACAGTGTCAATAAAGGATTGTAGTATACAGTATTTGCCTCTGTTTCCACAGTACTGACCACACTATTATAATGCCCACCAAAGCTCAATCACTCACAAGGTTACACTCTCTTGACACCTGACTCCCCACTAATAAATTCACAGGGAAGCGCTAAACCCTTATGGGCCTTACAGCGCCTGGGAAATGGCAGGCAATCAGGCATGATTCAAGATAGAAGAAGGTAGCTCCAAATCCTTGGAACAAGAAATCTGAGCTACTCTTGTCTTCCTTGGATCAAACCAACGACAGCAGTGGAACTACCGTGGATGACACATCAAGAGGTTGCCAACCCTGCACCTAAGTGAACAGTCAATTCTACTGGGGATGTCCCTTAACCTTAATGAGGTTCATGATCTGGTTCATGTCTCCCACATCGACGGTGGCCGGCACCAAGTCGTATTTGATCTCCTGTCGCCCACCACTAATACTGGTGGGGACCTGGGCCACGTGGATGACCTGCTCAAGCAGAGCAGGATGCTGTATGTGCTGGACCTGTTGCACCTGTTGCTGGTGTTGCTGGGTCTGTACAGCTCTCATGTCAATAACAGCAGTCTGGTGCTGATTAGGAACAGCCGTGTGTATCTGAATGGGTCCAGTGAGCTGCACTGTCGAGCCAGAAGATGGCACTGCCGTGACAGTTCGTCCTGTGTGTATCTGAACATGTTGTGGTTGTGACTGGTGAATAACTTGCGGTTGTTGCTGAAGTTGTTGTACTTGCTGTGGCTGTGCTACTGTGGTAACATTTGTAACTGTCAGATGCGTTTCTTTCCGCTTCTTCTCGCAGCGTCTGCGGTGCGCTTCGTATAATTTACGATACAGGAACACAAATCGGCACTCTTCACACTTGAATGGCCCCTCTCCTGTATGTTTGGCTTTGTGTGTCTGCAAATCTTGTACCGTCTGGAATGAAGCATCGCACTCATGGCATTCAAAAGGTCGGTCCTGCCGCTGCTCTTTTTTTTGCCTTTTAAACGTTGGATTGCTTGGATTAAAAGGAATATTACTGGTATTATTATTCGGTTGTCGAGCATGCTGGGTAGTATTTTTAGCTGCAGGTCTGTTGTTTACTTGTGGTTGATGCTGTACCTGGTGCTGCTGATGCTGTTTCGGCTGCTGCTGTTGATGTGTGGGGAACTGTCGTTTTATGGGACCTGGATTTACAATGGGTTTTGGAGGGTTGGGCATCATAGCACGTTTTTTCTGGCACCGTGTCTTGTGACTTCTGAAATGACTCTTATACATGAAAGTGAAGTGGCAATCTTCACAGGTAAATGGACCATCGCCACTGTGCTTCTTCTTGTGCTCATTCAGTTCAGTCGGGTCGATAAAAGAAGCGGTACACTGGTCACACTTGTACGGTCGATCTTTAGTATCCAGTGCTATCACAAGCCTCTGCTGTTGCTGTTCCTGTGGTTGCTGCTGTTGTGCATGCTCTTGTGTCTGCTGCTGCTGGTGATGTTGAATTGTTGCGATTGTTCTATGGGCCTGTTCGGGGGCTGTGGTTAAAACGTAACTGGAGGCTGTGTAGGTGGGAACATTGACCTGTGCTTGTATGGCTGTTATGTTTGCAGCATTAATGGCATGAGGGGAGGTGGTGACAACTTGGTATCTGGTAGACGGTGCTACCTCATATATCTGGTGAATCTCGCCACCATAGGCTCTCTTGTACGCTGTCAGCTGCGGATCTTGGTGAATTATTTGTTGTTGTTGTTGTTGTTGTTGTTGTTGCTGCTGTTGCTGTTGCTGCTGCTGTTGTTGCTGTTGTTGTTGTTGTTGTTGTTGTTGTTGTTGTTGTTGCTGCTGCTGCTGTTGTTGTTGCTGCTGCTGCTGTTGTTGCTGCTGTTGGTGTTGGTGTTGCTGCTGCTGTTGTTGCTGCTGCTGCTGTTGCTGTTGCTGCTGCTGTTGTTGCTGTTGCTGCTGCTGTTGTTGTTGTTGTTGTTGTTGTTGTTGTTGTTGTTGTTGTTGTTGTTGTTGTTGTTGCTGCTGCTGCTGTTGTTGTTGCTGCTGGTGGTGTTGATGTGCTGGGGCGGGCTGAGGTGTGGCGGGCTGTGGAGGGGCGGTCATGACAATCTGGACGGTGGATATCTCTCCCTTTTGATGCGTCTGCTTGTGCATCTCAAAGTATGCCTTATCCGAGTATGAGGCATTGCACTGCTCACACTTATACACCTTCGTGGGGGCATTATTCATAAAGAGCTTTAGATCAAGTGGGATATCCATCGTGGAGCATGACCCTAGAAGCTCTTGATCAATCCTGCCGGTGCAAATACCTCGCTCGGAAAAACACTTACGTCCTGCCTGGCTTATCCTTTGGCTCTAGATGGCAGTCTGAAACAATGAAGAAAAGTAAACTGTCAGAGTTCTGCATGCTACTAGCTTTCTTTAATATTAACAATACCTTATAGCATGTAAACTACATTTTGTAATACAGCCTCTCCTCACTTAATGATTGAATTCATCGCTAAGCAAGGAGCTTACTATAATGGTAGTGGGTTTTTGTCAAGCCATCTCTGATATTGTTTTAATGTCACCTTTGCACCATTTATAACATTATTAGAATAGTTTTAAATGTTAGAGATATAGTACAGTAGTCTCCCTGTATCCATGGGAGATACGTCCTAAGGCCTACCGTGGATACACAAAACCGTGGAAAGTAGTGAAACCTATATATGAGTCGTTTTTCATTTACATACATACCTATGATAAAGCTTAATTGATGAGTTATGCACAATAAATCGAGAATTACCACTTTTTCACTAATGGGAAGCACTTCATGGCTTCTCTCAGGCTTTGAAGAACTGCCTACATCTCTACTTTTGTGCTTTGGGGCCATTATTAAACAAAACTAAGGGTTATTTTCGAGCCACGGTAAACCATAGAAAACTGAAACCAAGGAAACTGAATCCACAGATAGAGGGGTTCTACTTATGAAGAGGTTCGGTTCTGGGTGGTCGTTCGTAAGTCCAACATCGGTATGTATGCAGTACTGTAGCATATGTACGTATGAACATCGAGTAACCCAAAAGTGTACATAGTTTAAACATTTACATGTATGTGAACACAGGAAAAATACATACAGTGGACCCTCGGCTAACGATATTAATCCGTTCCTGAGAGCTCATCGTTAGACGAAATTATCGTTAGCCGAATTAATTTTCCTCATAAGAAATAATGGAAATCCAATTAATCCGTTCCAGACAGACAAAAGTATTAAAAAAAATCTTTCTTTTTTTTTCATGAAATATACATTTCCCTACAAAGAAAACAATGACACTTACCTTTATTGAAGAGTATTGATGAGTGATGAGACACTGTTTTTCTTGAACAAACTGACATTTTCAGTGATACATGAGTAAAGGCTTCACTTTGCAATCCCCACTAACATTACAACAAAACATGACAGTTAGCCTGTCTTTCATAGGCATGTGTCCTGGGAGTGCCTTTTCCTCCTGAGTAACGTAGGTCCTGTTTGGCATTTTCTTCCAGAACATGCCTGTTTCATCACAATTGAACACTTGTTGGGGTTGGAATTTATCAGCTTCGCCATGCCTTATCACACTGTGAATGCCACTACGATTCTTAAATCTTTCAAAGCAACCTTTGCTGGCCTTAAATTCACCAATATGAGCACTAGTTCCAGGCATTTTTTCCTGTTTGCCTGGGTGTTAGTCGACTGGTGTGGGTCGCATCCTGGGAGACAAGATTAAGGACCCCAATGGAAATAAGTTAGACGGTCCTCGATGACTCACTGACTTTCTTGGGTTATCCTGAGTGGCTAACCCTCTGGGGTTAATTGTTTCTCGGTAATTGTTTCTCATTAAGCCACACCAACAATAGTCTCTCAAATAAATAACAAAAAGGCACAACACCGTGACTGGAACAATACACAAATAACCCGCACATAGAAGAGAGGAGCTTACGACAACGTTTCGGTCCGACTTGGACCATTTACAAAGTCACACTAACAAAAAGGAGAGCAGGATGGGTATATATAGGCAGGAGGTGGTAGTAGTAGTAGTGGTAGTAGTGGGGGTGGAAGGAAGTAGTAGCGGAGAGGTAGTAAGAGTAGGAGGGGCCAGTCAAATACAAAGAAAGAGGAGCACTGCAAGGGAGCTAGGTGCCCACAGAGGGTAAGAGCAAGAACACCGAGGGGGGGGAAAAACAAATAAATAAATAAAAGGAACAAATACACAGGGCAGAAGAAAGACAGACAACCCAAAGGAGAAAAAGGAAAGAGAAAAAGGGGAAGAGGGAGAAGAAAAAGGAGGAATCAGGTTAGGTCACGAGTGTTCTGAAGTTTGGAGCATTTTACAATGTAGTGGGAGAGGAAGGCATCTACAGAGATGAAGCCTGGACTAAGATTCATACAAGGAAAATTGAGTATTAGGGAGGATTCAAACAGACGGCGACTATTAAAGTTGGAAGTAGGGAAGACAGTTTTAGCAGAAGACCAGTCAATAGGATGGCTGTGATCTCTGACATAACAGAAAAGAGCGTTGTTAGTGTCGGCAAGCCTAACACTCTTTTTGTGCTCCCTAAGTCTGTCAGAAAGAGATCGACCAGTTTCTGCCAAAGTATTGAAGGGGACAGGAGGAACAAGAAATAGAGTAGACACCAGGAGCATCTGTAGAGGAAGGAAAGGTATGAACGAGATTAGTGCGAAGAGTGTTAGTCTGGTGGAAAGTAAGTTTGATGTCTAAGGGACGGAGAGAGTTATTGAGATTAGAAAGACCGGAAATGTAGGGAAGGCAGAGGACAGAAGAGTTCCCAGGAGTAGAGAGTTTGGGAGAGAAGAAACTACGTTTAGCATGTGAGAAGGCAGAGTCAATGAAATGGGAAGGGTAGCCAAGACGAGAAAATGAATTATGAAGAGTGGAAATTTCAGATTGAAGGAACTGAGGATCACATATGTGGAGAGCACAGAGAAAGAGGGAGATAAGAACACTTTTCTTGACAGAGGAAGCATAATAAGAAAAGTAGTGAAAGTACATGCCACTGTGCATAGGCTTGCGATAAACGGAAAAGGCAAAATCTGTATCTGAGCGGTGGACAAGAACATCAAGAAAAGAAAGCAAGGAGTTAGATTCCCATTCAGCTTTAAACTTAATGGAAGAGGCAAGATTATTAAGAGTCATGAGGCCACAGAGCAAAGATGTCATCAACATAGAGGAGCCAGAGTGAAGGTCGCACATCGACAGTAGGAAGAAGAACAGTTTCGAAGTATTCCATGTAAAGATTAGCAAGGACAGGAGAGAGAGCCCATAGCAACACCGAAGGTTTGAGAATAATATTTCCCTTGGAAGGAAAAGGAATTGAGTCCACACAGAGGCAGATAAGATCAAGAAAGACATCAGTAGGTATAGGGAGATGAAGAAACCCTTCACTGGCCTTCTCTCTAAGAAAATCAAGGACATCATCAAGAGGGACATTGGTGAAGAGGGACTCAACATCAAGACTAAGCATCTTACAGGTCGGGAGAGAGTGAACCCGTTGAATGAAATCCTGAGAGTGACGGAGGTGGGCAGGAGAAAAAGTACCAAGAAAGGAAGTGAGGGTTTTGGCCAGCCAAGAAGCAAGAGAATAAGAAACAGAACCTCTAGAAGATATGATAGGACATAGGGGAATATCAGGTTTATGGGTTTTGGGAAGGCCATAGAAATAGGGCAGAGAGGGACAGATGACACGAAAACATTGAACAAGGCCAAAGTCAGGAGGACAGAGGTCAGAGAGAGTCCTTAGTTTCTGGTTAAAAGTTCTCTTGATGCGATCAAGAGGGTTGAAAATGAGAGGAGTGTAGGTACGTGAATCAGAGAGCAAGACATCAGCTTTATGGAGGTAATCCTCGCGATCAAGGATAACTACCGAATTGCTTTTGTCAGAAGATAGTATGACAATGATGGTGTTGGATTTAAGAGAAGAAAGGGTAAGTTGGTAACGGTGCCACAAAATGTGGACAAGTCAGGAAGATTACGGGAGCGAGACTGGCGAAAAGAATCAAAGAGATAATCAGGGCAATACCAGCACGAGGGGTAGGCAAAGTGGCAAAGGAAAGACCAAAACCAAGAAGTTCAAGCTCATATTGAGAGAGTGAGACAGAAGATAGGTTAGTAACACAGTCAGTAAGGGAGAATTTAGACCAAGGGCTAGCTGAGATGAGACGTTGAAGTTTATTCTGTAGTTTAGAGGAATGAATTTGGGAATTCAGGCGAGCAATGTCAAAAGCAAAGGTAGAGAGAAGGTCACAGAGATCTTGTGGAAGAGAAGCAAAGAGAGCATGTTGACGCTGACGGAGAGTAAAGAAGGTATCTTCAACTTGAGACTTCGTAGAAAGGATGAGCTGCTGAAGTAGGAGACAGGCATGATCAGGAAAGGGAGTGCCCAGTGGGTTGGGTTTCAGAAAATGGGAGAAGGAAGGTGGCAAAACTTGTTCAGCAAGACAGTCACGCAGAAAGCGAAGCTGATTCTTACGACGCCTGGTAGCAATAAGAGCAGCCTCATAAGAATGAAAGAGGGGCTTAAAAGAAGGAAGAACATTAAAAAAGTTGGAAAGAACAAGACACTTAACTGCAGGGTCCATAAATAACAAAAAGGCACAATACCGTGACTGGAACAATACACAAATAACCCGCACATAGAAGAGAGGAGCTTACGACGACATCAGCAGCAGCTGACAGTGGTACAGCAGCAGCTGACAGTGGTACAGCAGCAGCTGACGGTGGTGCAGCAGCAGCTGACCGTGGTACGATAGTATTTCTCACCCTTTTTATCACAGGGTTGACACTAGAAGCTTTCTTTGGGCCCATGGTGGCTTATTTAGCAGTTACAAGCACTATAAACAATGGAATAATACAAAATGTATTGAATGTATGCATGAAACCGGCCACCCTGGCTTGTAAACAATGACGGCAGGGCAGCTGAGGCGCTCAGGCTGGACGGACAGGTTCAGGACGAATCATGTTGGGCAAGTTTTTTATCATTAGCCAGGCCAAAATTTTTACGCTCAAACGCTTCGTTGGCCGGATTTAACATTATGCGATGCATTCGTTAGCCGAGGGTCCACTGTACTGTACACATGTAAACAAAATGTGTTATAAATTAAATAAAGTTTTTAACCCTTAACCCTTTGACTGTCGAAGGGCCCAATCCTGAAGTTGCTCCTGGTGTCGCAAAATATTCGAAAAAAAAAAATTATTTTTTCTTATGAAATGATAGAGAATCTTTTCCCGATTGTAAAGACACCAAAAAAACTAAATTTGATGGAAAACTGACGGAATTACGCTCTCGCGAAGTTAGCGACTTCGGCGATATTTAAAAATCGGCAATTTCGC